TTCAATCGCCCGTTTGGACTAATCCAACGACTAGCTTACTGCTTGCTACCTCAGCGACGAAGTCTTACCTTCTTTAAATTAGGTACCTACTCTAGCCCAGCTAGTACTTGGTTTCCAGGTCAGCAAACAAATCCAACCTTTCCTGGGTTGATCAAGCTTGTTGTCAACGGCCTTTACTTTGTTATCCGATGCTTTCTGGTGGTCGGCAAAACTCCTGCAAACACTCCTCCTATTTCTTCCTCATCATCCTCTTCTCAAGCTTCAATTTCCGGATGTTTCAACATAAACCGAAGGCGAGCGACCCATGACAGACATCATATTTTTCGGCCTCTCATAAACTTGGCTATTGAGAAGCCAGCAGCCTCATACATCAGAATCGGCCTTTTGAACGCTTTTCAGATGTTTCGATTTCAGATAGAAATGAAAGCTGAGGACTATATCCAAAGACGGAACTTCCGCTTGCGTACGATCCAGAAAACCTGAACCAACCACTGGATCTCTAATTGGGTCATGCCCCTCCTGGACCCAAGGCGGCAAATCACCAGTGGCTGAAACCAGAAAACTACCCGCCCTCATATTCGACGCCAGATGAAAGTGAATGGACCTGCAGACAGAGATCCGAAAAACCGGAGAAATGAAGGAGCAGTGTCCGATAGGGATATTTCCTACTCTCCGTTGTGATTCATTTATTAATTAATAGAGCGAACGTTGAAAATTTTCCCTAACTCCGATCTCAAGTTGTCACTGGTGAGAACCCTGCCGATGCGAAGCGCGCAGATGAAATATCCCTCATCTTTGTGGCTGGAGGTGAAGCACAAGCCTCGTTGTGTAAACTAACTATAATAATAATAATGTTTATTCCCAACTTGTGTGTGGCATACCGTCTGGCATGATCATAGCTTTACAGTCAGAATGGAGCATGACTGAGGGATCTGTGGGGGTACGGATTGCACAAAAAGAGGACAATGTCACAAACAGTGGGGAACTGCTGATGATATAGCAATAATAGGTTATTTCCCAACTTTTTGGGAAAAATGGGCATGAGGTTCGACTGGATCAAAGACAGTCAGGTGGCATGAACTAAAACTGAAAACCATTGCTGGCCATGAGTGACCTTGGGCGGTTAGGTAAATGGCCGGAGTCACAACGAGCAACAGTGGAGATGGAGATGGGTTGATTCAAATTGGTAGCACATGTCAAGTTTTGTCTCAAAAATGTGGTTTAATCTGAAAGCAAGCAGACTCACTGGTTGCACTGTTGAAGGGATGTCAGGTGCAGGGGAATAGGTTGGATGGGGGCAAGTTGCTAATACATAGGGCGACCTGAACTCCGTATA